GATGTATTGAAAAGAACAGTTAATGCTTAAAATTTTTTATATTTTGACCAATTTTGCATGCTTGTATCCGGCAATCTGAGCAACTGATTTGAAGACAACAATATGCAATGGAGGGGCTGGGGACTTAGCTCAGCGGCACAGTGCCTGCCTGGCAAGTGCAAGGTCGTGAGTTCAATTCCCGGTACCAGAAAAAAAAACAAAACAAAACAAAAAAAAAACCGCAATGGAAAATCCATTGGTGAATTCCTTCCATCTTGTCTAGTAAAACTCTGTATTATCTCTAATGTTTTATTTAATAATTTTTTTATTCTCTTTAATGGTCTGAACAATCTTCCATTCTTACATCTGGTGATCTGAGCAACATAGTTGAAGATAACAATATGTAATATAACAACCACTGTTAATTCCTATGACTTCGTTCTAAAATCCTGTATCACTTTCATAAGTTCTTGCTTTGTTTGGTTTATGTCTGTGATGTTGGTATGCTGCTATTGCTCTTTTTTTTTTACTACTCTCTTTAAAATAAAAAGAAAATAAAACTATGTAGAAAGAAATGCCTCAAAGCACATATAACTTTCTAGCTACCCTAAAAAATTCTGATGGAGAAAGGGATACATTAGAAGAGCTTGTTGTGATGGTTTGCGGCTTGTCAAAGTTGTTTGGCATCTGTTATTGCACTTAAATTTACCATTTGTCTCATTCATCACTGCCTCAGCACCACCTGAAGTTAACACAAAAAAGTGAGATTGCAGTGATTTGCAGGAAGTTTACCTAAATTTAACTGCTTATGACAGCATATTTACAGGTAGTAAATTGCCTAAATTCAACTGCTTCTGATAGCATATTTACAGGTAGTAAATTGCCTAAATTCAACTGCTTCTGATAGCATATTTACAGGTGGTAAATTGCCTAAATTCAATTGCTTATGATAGCATATTTACACTTTCAGTCATAATTCAAACTTTTGTATAACATTACTGATCCATTGCTTCTAAAGCAAAAAGAAGTCTTTTCGATCATCATGTAAACATCCAGCAGAAAATATTCAGTCTTTTTTTTTTAACATCTGTTCTTTTGAACTCCTCCCTTTATATTTATAGGCTTTGATCAAAAAAGCGGTCCTGAACACAATTTTTATTTTCAAGTTCACTCTTTTAAATCTCCCTGAATTCCTGCAAGACTGATAGAATTTATCAATCTATTCTGTTCTCCAAAATTAAAGAAAATAAGTATCAAGAATCTCAACTTTACAACATACTTCAAATAGTGACTGGGTTTTTAAAATTGATATTATTGTCCTTCCTGTATAAAGCCATAAAATACCTGTCCAAAGTGAAAATCCTCACAGGGTTAGAAGAAAATGCAAATTCTCACAGGGTTAGAAGAAAATGCAATGTCACTTGTTCATTCAACAAATGCACAAAGTGCATACATGGCGACTAGTGGTCGAATTAGATAAATGAAGATTCAGTCTGGAAATTCAATGTAACTGAAGAAAAAGAAGTAAACAGAATTAAAATACAGAAACAAAAAAGGAACCCTCAACCCAAAATGAGGACTTAAGGAAAGCTTCTTGGAGTCAGGGACCCCTGCACCGGGTCCCAAACAATCATCAGTCAAAGTACCACATGGAAAAGGTCCTCCCGTAAAGGCAAGAGTATATGGTACCCTCAAAGTCTCTTATCCTTGGCTGAGGCTGGAGGAAAAGGAAAGGACGAAGTGACGAGGCTGGAAGTAATTACTGAGGGAGCTGCAACCAAATTACTGAGGGAGCTGCAACCATTTCTAAAGTGCTCAGACTGAGTTTGAAGTTTATTTTGGCAAAGTGTGTGACATGGTCCGACTGTGCTTTGGAAATATCGCTCTGGTAATGGTGTGGAGGTCGTACAAAAAAATAAGAGAAACGAAGTAGGGATACCATAGAAAAGGCATTGTGAAAAATAGAGATGGAAGTGAAAAATAAACGAAACTGGGAATGAGATAAAAGAGGTAATAGCCGTGAGCAACAGGACCTGACAATGTATTGGTGGAGACGATATGAGACGGATTCTAAGATGTCATATGTAAATTACAATTAGATGGTAATACCAGCCACCAAGACAGAAAACATTAAAGAGCCATGTGGCCATTCTAGAAGTGAAGCTCTATCCTCACTGAGAGTTTGCATGACCCATTAAGAGTTATAGTACAGTATTTTGCTACTGTGGACTGAACTGTATTTCCCGAGATTCATAGGCTGAAAATTTAACCCCCAAAGAACTCACTTTGGAAACAGTCTGAAGTTAAAGAAACTCAAAAGATGAATTCTAATCTCACAGAACTGGTTGCTTGATAGGAAGAAGAAAAGTGATCTCTCTGCACAAGCCCGAGAAAAGTGATGATAGAGCAAGAAGGTGCCCACCTACAAGCCAGGGGGAAGCTCTCATCAGAAGACGAATCTAGCCAGCGCGTGACTCAGAACTTTCCATCATCCAGAAATGTGAAAGAATCATTCCTATTATTTAAGCTACTTGGCCTACAATTAAGTGCCTATGATTTTGTTCAGGCAGACCAAGCTAACTCAGATGTAAATCAACCCACAACCCCTGCTCCAAGAAATATGCTACCACGTGCTACGCTGTGCCTTTTCCCCCAACCGTAAGCGAAGGGAGCAGGATTGTGCTTCTCACCCAGAGGAAGCCGATCTATCTGCCGACTTGAAAGGTAGAAATGGGCTGCACTCTTTCTTGCAAAATGAAGAAATATTAAGAGAATAAGTCAATCACTGGTAGATATAGAGTCGAGAAGATAGAAGGCATGAAGAAACCAGGACAGGCACATGCAAAATTGAGTTTTGAAAGAGCAAACACAAGTCAGTAAATCGAGAAAGAAACAGGTGACACATCTAGGCGTTCCTCGGGAGTCAGTACAGCTGATGAGTAAAACACACTAACTGGCTCCCGCAGAGACACTGACAACCACCGTCCAGGTGAACTCCATTCTGCCAGAGGCACTCTGTATGCCCCGCTCAGACATCCCATTAACACCGGCCTTACACAGTGTACCCACGTGAGAGCTAAGTGTGGCCACCAGCCACCGCCCGGCCTCTGCTGTGGGCTGTGACACCGAAGGGGGTGGCACAGTTTGAGAAAATAAAAAACAAAAAAATACAACCTGCTTTAGTGTGTCAGCACGCCATCCTGTCCTAAACAAACCAATCCGGCATGGACCCTTCCTTAAGAAATGCCAACCCTCCTTCAATGGCTACATTTGGGTATTCTACTTCTAGTAAAAGTTTCAAAGAGCTTACTGGCAAAGGGAATTTTAAAGCACCCCTGAGATAATTAAGAATCCACGGGGAAATAGTTACATTGAAAAAGAAGACCTGGGTGAAGCGAAGGTGGATCTATCAGGGATGTCTGAGATGACAACCCCGACTTGCTGTTACTCAACTCTTCAACAAGCGTTTTGACTTTCCTTTTCAAAGCATACCTCAGATAGATCGATTCTGTCTTCAATCCACTGTATCACATTCATTTCTGTTCCCCTGCATCTTCATCCCTATGTTTAAAGAGCCCAAAATACATGTTAAAACTATGGATTGCAGTACCGTGTCTGGGCACCCACTTCCACATGCTTTTCATCCACAGTTTCTCTTTTAGTACACCCCTAAAAGATAGGACCCCTTTCTCCAAATTGTTAACTCACCCGGAACACAGTCACTGAGGGGAAAGACTTAGGTGCCTCTGAGAGTGAAGATTTAGCTTCCTCTGTTCTCTCCCTCCCTAGTTAAACTCAGAGGAATTTAGGTTGTTGGGCAGCTTGCCTCTGTTTGCTACACATTTGCAGGGTTGAGGGCCAAGGTGCAGCATGCCAGGCATATTTCTTAGACAGAAACAGGCGCCGGATTACTCTAAGGGCTGCTCTGCCTGGTGAATGACATGTCAGTGTCAGGGGCCAGAGGCAGCCCGCTGCCCGTACGGCACTCACTCCAGCCGTATTTCTTGGGAGAAAGCTAAAACACACAAAAGGATTAACTCTGTGGCACAGAATTCTCAGGTGCAATTCCTATGCTGGCAACAAAGTCTCCAGAGAAATTGCTTCAGGTTTTGCCATCTGCCCTTCTGCCTGCCTGGAATAAAGCAATTCTCTAAGGATCCTGGGCAGACTGCATCCTTGGGGCCTATAAAAAGCATGGCTCCTCAAAGCACCCTCGTGGGACCCAGAAACACAGGCGGCAGCTGGTCTGTGTGAGGACTTATCAACTGTAGGAAGAGCGGACAGAAGATGTGTGTCATTCCTCAGCTGCCCACTCAGGGATAGGGTTTTCACTGAGTTGTAAGATCTTGGTGATGATACCGGAGCACAACAATACATGGCTTTGTCGGTTGTAACCAAGTGATTTCTCAGAGGACAGCCCTGAAAAGTAGTGAGCGGACACGAACTTTCCAACACAAAGCTGTAGCTGGGCGAAGAGAGAGTAGACCAGAATACTAACCATGTGGCCTCAGCTGCTTCCTTATCCATATCCTTCAAGTTTACAGTGTTCCTCCCACGTTACTTTCTAGGCTTTCCCTCTCACCCTTAAAATGACTCTATTTCTACTACTTCCCTATTATTATTCCAAATTATATCTCCCATCCTGGAGTTTTCTCTACAAAAATTATGAAGCATATCATCTATCATAGTGCCTACTTAGGTATCACTGCGCTATAAGTACTATACATAATTAGATATTTTTACCTTTCCCCATCAATCACAGCCTTCTAAATTCAGTTTCTGGCTTCCTTGATTTCCCTTTGTTGCATATCGATAGGAATAAACATAAAATTTATCAACTTTCAAGGAAGAGCAGGCTCAAATTTCTGATCACAGGTCCTCCGGGAGGAAAACAGCACATCAGAGTGATAAATACAAGCTGCTTTTCTCTCCTACTTGCTCGTGATGACTAGCTTCATTTCCCCTGGTTGAGTTCCAGGTCTGTGCAGAAAAGTACCAGGCATGTTCTGGGGGTGATCATATTCCCATTCTCTCAGTACATTCTTCACAACACTTTTCAGGCAGCAAGCAGAACTGCTGTCCTCAAACTCAGATATCAGAAGAAATCAACTTTCTTTTATAATAATCAAGGCTTTAATTACTGAAAGATGTAAAACAAAGTTCCAAGTTTTTATTATTTCCAAATACATAGCTTGCTAACTCTAGATTCTTTAGGTGTGAAAACAGAAGACCAAAAAGATTATTATCACTTTCAATGTCGCCTAAGCACACCTTTTATTTAGCCACTATATTTCTACAGTTATTATTACAAGAGGCCTAAAAGCCTATACAATAAAATATCAATGATTATCTGAACAGTTTTAGCAAAAAGCAGTCCCATTCACCTACAAAGGATCTGGGAACAGAGAAAAATGAAGAAGGAATTAAGAAGGGACACAGATCAAAACCTTACTCAGTCAGATTGGATGTCTATCCTGACTTGATGCTCTAAGTAGCAAATTGTCTATGGCATTTTTCTGATTAAAAAAAAATAACTTTATTTCTGAGGCACAAATCCACCATCAAACACTCTTTTTGAGCAGTAGAACTTTCCAAATACATCTTCATGACTGGGATGTCTAAACTGTAAGCTTGGTAATAATCTGCAAATTAAACAACCTGTTATTTGGTGCTTTTTAAAATGCTATTCACTATCAAAGGGTAATAAAATTATACTTAAAAATTAGTTGCTATTGAATCTCCAAATAATGATTTTTTTCCTGAGAACGAAAGAGTCCACCAATGAATGCTTAGACATCAAACTTGCATTATTTTTATTGTCTAAAATGGAACTGTTTATGAAATACTTTCCATATATCCTTTTATCTTACGCAGAACATACATGTTTCACACCTAAGTATTTAGATATTCCCATGATCAGATAAGGAAACACAGGCTTATAAGGATAATATTTTTATCTGAATGCGTGAAGCTTGTAAGTAACAGAGCTAACATTTAAACCCAACCTAAGACTGAACAGTATCACAGGCTCTCTGCACTAAATCACAGCTCTGGGCTCTACTAATAACAATGCCAGAGAGAAAACTGTTATTTACTCTCATATTAAGCAGGCTAGAGCAGCTGTGCTTTCAGCGTTCCCAAGCTATTTCGTGAAATTCCCTTGCATGAACATCATTTTACTAGCTGTGAGATCCTAGGTAAACTGCCTAACTTCTCTGAGCTGCTTTTCCTTTTTTGTAATGTGGGCAATAATGATAACATACGCTTGGAAAGAAGAGACACACAAAAGCTATTTGCTAGTACTGTTTTATATTTTATTTTGTGTCTATACGCCAATTTCTCCATTTTCCTGCTTCCAACTGCTATCAGATTATGCAGGCTTATTAAATTTGTCATTCCTTGATATAAACAAAATCAATCATTTCTGGAATAAGAACTGCAAATTACACCATGGCTTACCTATGCAATACAATACATACTTTAATGACATCCTTCCAATTACTCAACACTTTTCATTTTGGTGGTACTGAGCATGGAACCTAGGTCCTTGCACCACTGAGCTACTTCCTCCACCCTACTGTTTTTCTTTTCTTCTGAAACAAGGTCTCCCTAAATTGCCCAGGGGGCCCTGAACTTGTGATCCTCCTGCCTCAGCCTCATGAGAGACTGCGATTACAGGTATGCACTATCACACCCAGCTTGAAAACTCATTTTATACTACTGAGGGCCCCAAAATTATCTTCCATGGTTCTTCAAAGAAGAAATGAACCTGAAAATTGAAAACTACAAAATTCTACTTAGTCACACACTGACACTTAAAAGTATCAAGTCATCAGTTATCTGCCAAAGAGAACAAATGAAAACAGTACAGTTTAAGGTATGGCAAAAACATAAACAAACAAGGGGAAAAAGGAAAAAATAATGAGCTGAGGCCTCTGAAAGGAAGACTTGGAAAGCCCTCAGAAAATGCCTGACCACTCCTAAGGCTAATAGGCGCTAGACTGGAATGCTGCCAATGGAGACCCAGAAGGAACGGAATCAGTACCTCTACCAAAATAAAATCTGATCTCAGAGAAAGAACTTACTTCTATTTTCTCTCTCACCAAGTAGCAAAACGCAGTAAGAGTCATGAAATCCAGGCAGTTTTTCTCATGACTCCATGGTCAGAATCCCGTAAGATAAGGTATGTGAAAGAATTTGGAAATGAAGTGCTATAGAAGCCTTAAACATTGTTATTATTAATAATACTACTAATAATATTAGCATCAGAATGGCTAAACTCATACTGTTTCCTAATTTAGAGAAAATCATGGCAAAACAACATAGATAGTAATCTAGCTTTACAGAAATGTATATATCAAAAAACGACCGTATTTTTTCAGTAAATACCAATTAAGCACTTACATTTTTCTGGACATGAGACATAGGTGGGTTTACCACGAAGATACTCTACATAGAGTCCTTCCACTCTCCTTCAAATGAAGCCTGTGCGTGTGTGTTCACACGTGTGCAGGCGTGCCCTGTGTTAGGGAATAGGCAAGCACTCTACCAACGAGTTAACACTCCCAGCCCTCAAATTTTCTTATCTAACTTTATACTCAGAAATTTGTTATTTTTACTTAAGAGCCATATAGCAATTCTTTAAATTTCAGGTTCCCAAAAATCTTTATCTGCCTCTATCACGGAAGCATATGGAAAACAATGAGGAGCTACCTAAGTTCTGACCTCTCAGCCGCGTGGTAACAGTAAACAGGAACTCTGCGAAGTGCTGCGCTAGTAACCCAGCACCATCACTGGGGGTCACGAAGAATTTGGAGACGTGACACAGGAGCCCTGTCTTGAAGGTTGTGCAGACTAAGAGGATGTGGGGGAAAGCCATTTCTTGGTGAGGTAAAGATACCAGCTCAGGCAACGAAACCATTAAAAACCCAGAATAATTCAGGAGAGTGGGTTGCAGGCCTCAGTGCGAAGAAGAGAAAGCTAGGCCAGCAACGCTCCCACGAGCTGCCTGAGAGCGTGCTCCGCAGACTGGGGAGAGACCGAGGGCTGGGAAGATTTTAAAATTTGTTTTCTGGAAAACCATTCTGGCAACAGGGAAAATAATTCACCAAGACCCCATGTTAAACTGCTGAAAGAACCCAAAACGCAAACAGGGATGGGCGTGACCGTGCACACCTGCGATTCCAGCGCTCTGAGGGACCCGAGGGACAGCCCGGCTTGGCCAACTTAGTGACTTAGGGAGACCTGGTATCAAAACTTGAAAAACGTTTATAAACAACTGAAAAACTTGGACTCTCCCTCCTCAAATAAAAGATCCTATCAAAAACTGAGCAAGTGAAATGAGCAGACTCCACAGAAGCGCAAATGGGCAACTAGCACCTCTGGCTGTTAGAGATACTCAACTTGAAACAACACTGAGACTCCATCTTACCCCGGAAAGAACGGCCATCAGCAGGAAATCAAAGGCTGGGGAAGCTGCCGGAGGAAAACAACCCTTCTACAACTGTTGGTGGGAATGTCAACTAATATAACCACTATGAAAATTAGTATCTGCTCCTCAG